GGCCAAATGGGACACAGGGTCCAGTCCCCTACAACTGAAAGCAGTTGCTTCAGAAAACCACTGGCAAACAAATATCAGGGTCCACATTCAAACTTGCCATTATTCCTGTTTCTGAAAAGCTAACCCCAAACCTCACCTCTCTGAGAGTTAACGCTGTCCTAAGCAGTGACCTACATGTCTTTATGGCTTGTGGATACTCATTTGTTTTCATGCCAACTTTGCCTATTAGTTTACACTGCAATTTTTTTCTCCATGAAATAAAACCCTAATGTATTTATAAAGAGCTTTGTTTTCTCTCAGACTTTTTTCTAGTATACGACACAAGCCAAGCTGAGTTAGTAGAACTGAATGCACAGAAAGGTTACAAGGATCATAGTAAAAAACAGCCTATTTTTAAAATTTTTAATATAAGTCAACCTCTTGTCCTTTTTGAAATGGAAATATTGTCCTAGGGAAGTAATTTAAGACTAGCTATAGGCACTGCTTTTTATTGATAAACCTATTAAATTAATTTCATAGCTACACAACAAATGTTATTTAAATCATTGATTTTTTATTTTTTTTTGTGGAGTATTCTGTTAATCAGGATGCATTACCCAGTATAAAGTAGTTTAGCAGTAACAAATTACTGGTGATCATTATCATATTTGAGAGTTTAATAATGTTAATCAACTTTATTAACTTTCATGGCTGTAGAATTAAATAATTTATTAACTCAAGTTAGAAAGCAAATGTTACAAAATTATGATAAATGATAATTGCAACCACTTAAGAAGGTATTTGGGAACAGACAGAAATAACAGAACAGCTATTAGCATGAAAGATAATAATGGTTAAAAAAGAAAGATTCTGCGTCTTGCCGAAGATTGAGATGCCAAAGATAACCGTGGACTCTCGCAGCTGTGGCAGTGCGTGTAGCTGACTTTGGCTGTTAACATCCATCCCAGATTCCTCCATTCGGAGGAGAACTCTGATGGCATGAGCCCAGAAAAGGTATTTTCTGTACAAGCCACATCTAGCAGTCGTGCACTGCCGTAAGCATCTGTGGCTGAGCTGATGAGCTGATGCTAAAAGCTATCAGGAGACTTCTTAATAGCAGCTGGAACTGGGGTGTGGAGAAGAACTGACCCTGTGATTTTTAAATCTCCCAGGTTAGTATGACTGCCAGTGTTGAATTCATGCCTTTTTTTTTATTTTGATATGTTAGCATCCATCGTAGCAGCAAACATTTTTAATGGTAGCAACTACATGCAAATCCAGCGGATGTTGATTCTCCAAAAGTGGATTACCTGATACAGACTGCTAATCCCTGAAATATTCCTCAAATACATCTAATTCTTCCTTTCCATAAACACTCCTAGTTTACTGTGTAAAATGCATTGTAGCACCTGCACCATCCAAGTGCTTGAACTAAGACTAGTTCTAAAACTTATTTGAGCAAATTCTAGTAAACTCTTACAAATAAAGACATTAAGAAATTGTCAAACAGTTCTCAGAAAGTGCCATGTGTACCTGCTTAATATACTGAGAAATCTTTAAGCAAATAATACAAGGTGGATGTTTCCATGTTCTTCATAAGCTTACCACTCCCCATTTTTTTCCTAGATCGCCCGGGTTTGTTAAATGTGAAGCCCATTGAAGATATACAAGACAATCTGTTGCAAGCTTTGGAGCTCCAGCTAAAGCTGAATCATCCAGAATCATCACAGCTGTTTGCAAAGTTGCTTCAGAAAATGACGGACCTCAGACAGATTGTAACGGAACATGTGCAGCTGTTGCAAATAATAAAGAAAACGGAGACAGATATGAGTCTTCATCCACTCCTACAAGAAATCTATAAAGACTTATATTAATGACCATAGTAGTTCTAATCCGCTGACATAATGTATGTTCTTCAGATTGCACTATTTCTTCGAGGGAAAACTCTGCATACCTAAGAAATTACTGTGAAACAGCATTTAAAAAGAGAGAGCTTAGTATAGTAGATCTATTTTATGCATATTGTTTATAAAGACACATTTACAATTTACTTTTAATATTAAAAATAACTATATCATTAAATTGTTGGCAGTATTTTCAGAATTAATTTTTTAAACTATCTTATTTCTTAAAATTGCTTGTCCAGTATGATTGATGCTTCACTGAAGTTGGTTAAGCATGCAGTTACATTTCCAACTCAAAAATAAAAATCTTTCTCCTGAAACATTTCTAGGGAAACGTTTTAAGTATTATGTTTGATTTTGTGCTCCCAAGGCAGCAGCAAAATAACAATAACATTGAATCACAGATTAGTGTAACTTCCCGGGAGAGCTTAAAAGGCGAAAGTCAGAAATGTCAGGTCTGACAACATCTGTGCCTACTGTAATATAATTTTATACTGATGGAGCTCTGTAAAGAGGTCTTAGTGTAAGTAAGAATTAGGCCCATCTTTTGTGGGCACCCCCAAAAGCTAGATGCCCTTTCAAGTATTAATTAAGTGAGGAAAACGCAGTGCTCATCACATCTTTGCAAGTCCAAGGCAGGGGGAGCAGCAGCCTGCGCAGAGGCACCGTGCGGCTGCCCCTGCCATGGCCTCCAAGGCACATACCTCAGCAGCTCGTCCTCATGCAGCCTCCGGTCACTCTGTTGAGTCTGTTGCTGCAATAGGTTTGTACATACCATTCGGCCTGAGACCTTCACAAATTATTTTATGACCTATCATTGAATAACATGGTGAAAAATGTCATGGAAAATTGGAATAGAGTGACTCCTCCTGAAGAAAAGCCAGGTCTGAATGAATTCTTTAAAACATAAACCTGTAATGGAAACCCTACTGTGTTAGTTTGGCTTCAGCTATCATTATTTATCACTGGGAACAAGAATGCTTTGAGATGTTCACTGCTGTTAAGATTGTTCATTTTCTTCTACACGTTGCCCTATAATTTCACCTCATATTTCCACCAAGAGCAAAACACAGGAGAGTGAATAAATTTAACAGAAGGAAATTTACTTACAGTAACTTATTTGGGTATTCTCAGTATGTCAGATTCCATTAGATTCACATTTAGCCTGCCCACATTTACTGTTTGGGAACGTGACCCCTGACAAAGTCAAGCAGGTGTGATTCACACTGCTGGACCCAAAGAGGGAATGTTTGGGGGGGAAAAAAAAGGCACCAATTTTAACATACAAACTGAAGTAAGGAGCGCTCCTCAGTTGAATATCCTTAGTTTCCTCACCATGTTCACATTTTGTTTTATGTAGCAAAAAGTGTGCCTTAAACTTAGTGAGACAAGTACGGTGGTGATATATAAGTGGACCAAGAGGTAATGTAAGTGTCTGGGTGAGAAGACTGGATTTTCAGGGAGTATAAATTGGCCTTATTCCCAATGTAGACCTTGAAAATCTAAGTTGGTGCAAATTATGCAATAAAGAGGATGATAGAAGCAAATATTAAAATAAGTCCTTAAGCTCATGCCTTCTACACCTGAAAATGTTTCCTACTACTTATTTCAGATAACCTCTGGGCCTATAGTCACTAGTAAGCATTATGCCCACCAGAAAGTTTGGAGAATTGGATCATTCAGCCTCAAGGTTTAAAACCCAGAGATGAAATTGCACTGAGATGAAGTCAGTATGAGGCTAAAGTGAACAGTTTTGATCTTCACTAAGTTTGCAATGAGATCATTTCAGGTAACTTAGAAATGATTGCCCCAAAGCAACTGGAGTGCTGCATGTCAATGCTCAAGACTGCATGTTCCCTGCGTATTTCGGGATAGAGGCATTGTGCCAGCTGAGCATTGGATCCCGACAGGAATTACACGCACATTCATTTGTGGGTGCTAGAACTCAAAAGAAAGTATTCTCTCTCTCCTTGTTTTAAGTTGTTTTCCACTGGCCACTTGCCACTTGATATTTTGCCATCTCTCACTTAGTGGGAGAACCTCTATTTAATTGCAGAGTTCCTCCTCTTCTGGAGGAGGACATATCAAAGATTAACTGGCACTGAGAAAGACCACAGCTCCAAAACTGAATTCCTATAATAGTAACACACAGCAAAAACTATTCATCTGAGCCTGCAATTCTGATACTATCCAATTTTACTTTGGGTTCACCAGCAATGAGAGTTCAACATTAGTTTTAGATAAAGAAGGATTCTAGGGCACGTTCTTATGTAAGTAATAATAAGAATTATTTGAAAAGGACAGTGGAAGAGACACAATGACAATGAAATTTAGTTCATGGCTTTGTTACAGGAAAAACTTCTGTGTAACCAAGAACCACGTTAACCCACAGAACTCGATTCTACTTTATTGCAAGTGGTTATATATCTGAAAGTAGCAGTTTAGCAGTGGTGGTGTTGAAGCCATCCAGTACCATACAGACGTATACAATCCATGTATTTTGAGAGTGGCAGCATAATGGTCGTCGTAATGGCCTAAGGATAAAAGAGAAGACAGTTCTGCAGGAGCAGGTGTTATCCTTTATCAGGATGAAGGGACTGGATGCCCCAAAGCCTACACTTTTCTTTCAACTGTATAAGCTGCTCTAATAAAATATATTGTTCTCCCTACATCCTGTCTTCTCTTACATTTTGATAGTTATTCACCACGTTTTTCTCAAGCCATGGAAAATGTTAATTTTTATGTGAATTACTAATCACAGAAATGTTCTGATTCTAAATGGTTACATCATGGTGAGGAAGTTTTGCCTAAAATACTTTTCTACAAGAATGGGTCTTAAGGGAAAAATGTTCATTTAATGGACAATTGCTATGTACTAATTTAGAACAAATGACTGTTATGAAGATATGAAAACATTTTCTCAAAAAATAGCATTTTCTCTTGTGAATTATATTCAGAATTTTGATCTAATTGTAAATACTTTCTGTTTCTATGGGACTTTATTTATTAAAAACAAAACAAAAAAAAAACCTTGCTAATGGGCGTTTATAAGTAGGTTGTAATATTTTCAGACTCTCTAGAGTTTTGGTTAGAATGGGCTATGCCATAAATGAACAATTTGGTTTTTTGATCTTCAGTGCTACTAAAAACATTTAGCAACTCAAAAATAGAAACCGTCAGCTGGTATATGCCTGCCTTTGGAGAACTTCATTTAGCTTGTGTTTTACTGTCCTTCCTTAGTCATCTGCTCACTGCATCCTAACATCTTCAGAGATGATGTGCTAAGTGGGGTACTGGTACATTCCCACAGGTTTTAAAACTTCTGAGCTGTTATTCTGTCTTGTCTTTTACGCTGATCTGCTTTTTCAGTAGAAAAATGCTGGAGGTAAATCATGTCCAGAGAAAGTCATTTGGCATATCTGCACATATCCAACAACTATCTGCTATTTCCCTCACCAGGTCAAGCATCAGCTAGTCATCAAGATGGTTATGTAGAAACTCAAAGGTCTCTATTTAACAGGAAAATTTACCTTCTTCAGACAAAGATCATTGGTGACCATTTCTATACTAAACGTTGCTGTGAGTGGCTTTAAATGAAAATTTAGATGAGAGAAAAACATTTCCAGTGTCACCATTGTTATAGTGAAGGCAGCTGAGACCATTTGAATCGCTGTTTCCGTAACAGCAATGAAAAACTGTTTATTCTACTAGTGCAGGTAACTAACCGCCTTTCGGCACTGCATGGAAGGAAGCAGTTGAGTTGTGTGTTCCTCACATCATCTTCTCCTAACCCAGACAGCCCCTCAGGAGTCGAAAATACTGAAGCCTAGAAAAGAGCCTTCCTGATCATTGTTGTCATGACTGGTCATGACAAAGCTGTAGAAGTACCAAGGCCCGCCCTGCCCTTTACTTTAGCACACATGCTCTGGGTTTCAACTCACCACTGGTACAGTTAAGCCCCAGGGGATCAAGGTTTAATATTTGATTTGCAATTGTAAACTCTGTCTTGAAGCTGAGTACATCTTCATGGGACTTTTTCCTTTTAAGTAAGAGGAAACATCTCTCCCGTAAACGGATGTAACATCAGCTTTGTAAACACAAGCAATACAAAGCTGCAGCTAGAGATTTATAGAAGGAGGAAAACAAAAATGAGGGGAAAAAAAAAACCCCAACCAACTACCCTCCTGGATCAGCAGCTCAATCATACACTTGTCAAATCCTTCCGGTTTTCAGTCAAGCATTGGAAAAAATTATGTGCCTCATCATCAATCCCATTCCAACTGCCTTGCGTACAGTGGTTAAAAATTAGCTGCATAGGCGTGTCTCCAACTACACAAATACAGCAGTAGGCTCTCACACTTCTCAGCACTAACTAGGCCTGAAAATGTTGATAATTGGAGGAAACATTATTTCTGAACTTATGATTTTTCATTTTGCTCTGCAGGGCATAGATAGGAAATTAGAGGGGTGAAGCAGCACACCCTAAATATTGCTCACTGGCTTTAAGAAAACAATCAGTAGCCAATGACTGACCCAACGACAAAGGGAAGTAAGGAAAAGATTCCAAAACTTCAGATGCAATATAATATTATTAAATACGTGTGTGTACACTTAGGCAAAGACATCCATCCATTCATTCATAGTGTAGCTCCTCACCAGAAACCATTCCTAGTAATCTGTGGGTAGAATAACTCCAGATAGTAAAAAAATAACTGCTACTTGTTATCGTTTTGCTCAGACATTCTGAGAGTTGCCTCAAAATACACACCACTCATTTTCCAGCATAAAAAATAAAATTTAAACATAAGTATTTTTGCTTCTGATCAAGCTGCATTGCCACCTGGCCCTCTACCTCATCAGTCCTCTTTTGCCACACCCCAACTTTCAAGCCATACAAATTCAGCTGGGTTTTGCCTCAGTATGTGAGCTGTTCTTTGACATACATCTCCCCAGGTTTCAGTGTTTTGTTGGAGACCGCTCTGAGCAACTGCAGGTCAGGATGTGGAGACAGTGTAGTTTCACTCTCTTCGCTCATTCATCAGACCTGGCAAATGCATTCTCTTCTTTCTTGTACCCTGTTTACGGCACCCTGGTCTCTGGACCTTCATATTCTGCATGAAAGCTGCACATTTGTGAAGATACAACTCTTCTTCTCAACACACACTCTATGTAATCTTGGAAATGTATCCTACTCATACTTATTTGTATGCAAGGCACCTAAAAGTTCCTAAACGAGAGGAGAGACTCCTGCTATACTTGGCCCTATAGACACCAGCACTGTTCCAAGCAACCCGCACAACAAGACAAGGCAAAGGG